ATAAATAATTATGACAATGTTATTGGCTATACAAATGACATTCAAAAAATACCGATCCAATGGCCCCGTAGTTAAGATATGCTGTAACCATACTGTCATAATAGGGTGGCTTTAGTAAAACCAATGGGATTGCTGTTGGGATAAATAATTTGTTAAAAATACTAATATTTTATAAAAAATTTATGATTCAACTAATTGTGTTGGACTTCAAATGGTAGGTGCGGTTATTTTCTAATGGTGTTACTGGCCAACTGTAAAGGTATTATAATAACAAAGTTAATAAATTAATAATTTGCTTATAAATACTCAATAACTACTCGTAAATGGTGTCCACGGGTTGTCTAATTGATCTCATATTTCGTGCGACACTATTAGTTTGTAAATAAATCATAGCCTCGAATGACTTTTTGAGATTCACTCTTTGAATCTATAGTTAAATAAAATTTGTTTTAAATAATAATCTTCATCATTTCATCAATTCAGTCAATAATCAGTTCTCACAAGCTTATAATAATTGTCCAGGTCAGTATTGTTAAGAATCCAATCAGGATATCCTACATTAAAAGTCGTGGCATTCAATTTGGTTAAATATTTGTTTTTGATGTTTTCATCCAACCAATCGTATTCCTCAATTAACTCATAGTAAGCTTTCTTAACATCATTTACTAAATTTGAGGCCTAATTAATACAATTGAAAAAATATATTAAATTACTTAACTTTATTAATTGGTTACTAACCTCTTGTTTATCATTTTGTGTGAAGTGTTTATCGATATATAGACGGCTCACAGCGTATGGTAATTGTGATGATATGCTGTCCATACATGTCCCCCGCAAATCGACACCCGTTTCCTGTTTATTAAAGTGTTGGTTGAATTTAAGTTCAATATCTCTGAACCTTTTATCAGTATATGAGCCCAATTTGCGGACAAAATTCCAGCCCATATAGTTAGCTATCACCGCAAATCGACACCCGTTTCCTGTTTATTAAAGTGTTGGTTGAATTTAAGTTCAATATCTCTGAACCGTTTATCAGTATATGAGCCCAATTTGCGGACAAAATTCCAGCCCATATAGTTAGCTATCACTCGGGGTTTCATATGATTTTTGATGCCTTTAATTATAAAATTTGTTGGCAGAAATTGATAATAAAAAGTATCCCTCACTATAACCAGATCATCGCTTTTCATACGAATTGTTTCATTCAATTCCTGTAATATAGTGTTTGTTATGTTCAGCCAATCGACAGAATAGAAACGATTTTTAGATAATAGGTTGAGTCTATCAAATGACATCCTATTATAATGAGAACTTGGAAAGGCATCTTTAATTCCAGCATTCTGTAATCAATAAGATCTTAGTTTAACTTAGTCTAATAGAATACAAATAAAATAGTAACTTGTAATTGATAAATGGTTTCTATAAACATACCCTTGCTAGTGCTTCTTCGTATAAAAATATATTGTCCACATCCTTGCGAGTTTGGCTATCATTAGTAGCGCCCAATAGTAGTGCCGTTTGTAGTATAAACTCCTTATAAGCTCTCGCAGAATCGGGATTTTCATATTGCTTATTCTTATGGTTAAATAGTCATGGTGATTGTAATTAATCTTGTATTCTTCAGTAATAATTGATTGAAATAGCTATCACTCGGGGTTTCATATGATTTTTGATGCCTTTAATTATAAAATTTGTTGGCAGAAATTGATAATAAAAAGTATCCCTCACTATAACCAGATCATCGCTTTTCATACGAATTGTTTCATTAAATTCCTGTAATATAGTGTTTGTTATGTTCAGCCAATCGACAGAATAGAAACGATTTTTAGATAATAGGTTGAGGCTATCAAATGACATCTTATTATAATGAGAACTTGGAAAGGCATCTTTAATTCCAGCATTCTGTAATCAATAAGATCTTAGTTTAACTTAGTCTAATAGAATACAAATAAAATAGTAATTTGTAATTGATAAATGGTTTCTATAAACATACCCTTGCTAGTGCTTCTTCGTATAAAAATATATTGTCCACATCCTTGCGAGTTTGGCTATCATTAGTAGCGCCCAATAGTAATGCCGTTTGTAGTATAAACTCCTTATAAGCTCTCGCAGAATCGGGATTTTCATATTGCTTATTCTTATGGTTAAATAGTCATGGTGATTGTAATTAATCTTGTATTCTTCAGTAATAATTGATTGAATAAAATGATAATTTTTGTAATTTATATATACTTACATCATTAGGCTGTGGAATTGCCGGATAATTGAGGACAAATTGGTCACTGTCAAACTATAAGGCAAATATTAAATAATGTGAATATTTCAGCTCAATATTGTATGTGTTGTTCAATATATTGTTACAAACTTACGTATAATCTATTGACAAGAGTATCGCTAGAGTCCGGGAATACTGACAATGAATATATGGATGAAACGCCATATTTGACGAATTGCTTGACAAACGCGTCCTTCCAATCAAATTTGGTCTCATTATAGCCACCCGACTGTCCCATTATAGGCCAACCGCCCACTGATTTCAGTGCCTCTATAAGAGGGATCATTCCCCTGGTATTACGTGTTTCTACACAAATACAACTCAATTATAAATAAGTTATGAATAATTAAATGCAAATGAAATGAATGTCCGAAACCTTCATCAATACACGCCTTAAAGAGATCGGAGGCATAGGTCACAGCATTTGAATCACTTGTCGACCGCTTTTCAAACAACAATTGTTTAACGTTTGACAAAAATGTTTCATTAATAGTATCGATAACTGTTAACCAGTCTTTATCATCGGGTAGTTTATGGGACGCCTCCCAACCCCCGCACGCGAACGCATAGAAGTCATGGCACGGGTCCACCGATTTCTTGAGATTGGCTTTCAGTGCCATTCCCGCGGATTCACATTCAGATGTTTTGCATATTAGCGAGTAATCCGGTGGTATGTGATCATCCAGCTCATAAATAGGTGTAGATGTAGGCGTAGGTGTAGGTGTAGGGTCAATAGTTTGTTTGTGTCGGACGGATAAAATAATCGCAATTATTATTAACGAAATTAAACTAATTGATAGCAAAATGACCTTTATATACTTGCGATGTGTCATTTTTAAATAATTTGAACAACTACAATATTTTGCAAATACTTTATAAAGCTTGCTTTGCATTTATATTTATACGATATAAATCGGAAGGTTTTTTAATACTAAATATATCATTACGAGTCATATAAAGTCGTTTGTCTGAGAGAATCAGTACATATTTACATTTTAATCAATATTTAACCTTTGACCCATAGCTTTGATCAGTATTAAATTTTGACAAATTTTGACATAAAACCTGTTTTGATTTGGTTTGTGTACTGATTCTCTCAGACAAACGACTATATGTGTCATATATGTGAAGGGAAATGCAAAGGTATATTCGACCTTGTTTATAAAAAGACTTTATACATCCTTTAGAAATAAATTGTGACTGATTTCCGTTTATTTTAAATTATTTTACTATATTTTATAATCTTTATAAGTTATAACATTACTACTTGTACTGTACATAATATACAGTAATAAATGTTACTTATGTTACATAATAGACACATAGGTAGAACTTTCCATATTTTGTTATATTTTACAAATAAAATAAAATGTACATAATAAAAAATACATACAATAAGTTATATATCCCCACAAAATACATTTATTTTTCAATTCATTGGAGAATTTGATTTACAATTAAAGGCATCGGAAAAGGGCTGAAAGTTAGATAAGGGAATGTTAACCCGGTATTTGTCTAGATTTGAATTTCATATTAATTTTAAATATATGATTCAATAGCTAACTAGCTTAAATTAACTAAAAAATATTCAATCGTTATTATTAGTATTATAAATTTATTAAATTTACAAAGTAGTAGTTACAAATCTGTTTTTAAAAGCTTATCTTAATTATATTTTTGTGCTCGTTCCAATTTCTAACCAAATTTGTTCTAGTATATATGGTTAACAAGTTAGAAAGATATTGTTAAATTTTAAAAATTAATATTTTCACAAGACGTGCATTTTAATGACAAACAACTGTGTTGTGTTGGAATTTTAAAAAGCTCAATAAAAATGACCCTGATACAGTCAATTAAAAATTGAGACTGGTTAGACTATACTATGAAAAATCTAGGAAAAACTCCATGTAATTTCAATGAGAAATGTGGTAAAACTTTGAAATTTAATTACTAATTTATCCTGATGAATTTGTATAGCAAATAGTATATCACCAGATTGTGACATTATCAAGTTACAATTTAGTTAAAACGTATTAAAAATTGGATTATCCGTTCAAAAGCTATTCAACTTTTCCCAACAGTAGATAGAAGTGATCATTATTTTATTTCGTATCAGTTACTACATAAAATATTGAAAAACTAAAATAAGTTATATATCACCACAAAATGCATTTGTCTTTCCTATTCATCGGGGAATTGGATTTACAATTGAAGGCATCGGAAAATGGCTGAAAGTTGGATAAGGGAACGTTAACCCGGTATTTGTTGGGACTGTGAGATCCACTATATATATTTGCTTTTAATGCTAATTGTCGGATGAGACTGCATTTAGTCTATGAGTGAAATTCAAATACAAATGTAATTATTTATGAGCAAAAGGGTCGTTCATACGTACGGATGCGTATGAAAGGAAATACAGCTGTTGTGGTGTGTATTGCGAGACATATGGCAGTCGTTGTGGTTCTCCGTATGTCTTGACGTACGTCTGAAACGCGCGGAACGACTCTCTGAGGCCTCCGTTGTCCGCAATATTCTCTCCCAAAGTATTCCTTCCGTTCAACTAATCATTCAATTCATGACAACTGTATTAACACTTAATATACGAAACACATCCCAAACCCCACTATATCTTATCCATACATTCATATCAACTTCCGGTACGTATTCACTCGAGTATTGTTGGATAAAACAATTTGCCTTTTCGTCAAACCTTTCCGTCGCTTTTTCTGTGAACCAATTCTTGAGATTTCCCGAGTCGTCAAACCCATGCGTCAACTCGTGTCCGATAGTCTGTCATTTCACTCATGTATTACTTATTGTTTATTATACCGTATAAAAATTAGTAAAACTTAAATACCGATCCTATGGCCCCGTAGTTCACAGCAGCCGGGCCATTGCTATATAGAAAGGGTGGCTTCAGAATAGTAGCCGGGAATACTTATTAAGAATAAATAAAAAGAAATAAATATGATTTTAAAAATATTTGTTAACTATTTAAATAAAATATTCAAAAAAATAGATTTTCAAAATATTTATAATGTCATCATGCTACACTAAAACTAAATTATTTTATTGAATGAATTTATTTAAAAGTGATTTATTTAACCACTGTTTATATGTTTATTACTGATTGAATTGGATTTGGGGTCGTGAAATGCGTTTACTTCGATGGGTGAGCCTGGCCATCTAGGTAAGTAAAGCATAATTTAAGTAATCAATTAGTTTGTTACTTAAATACTTGCTCTCTAGTGATGTCGACGGGCTGTCCAATTGATCGCATATTTCTTAAGACATTATAGCTTTGCATATAAACCATAGCCTCGAATGACTTCTTGGGATTCACTCTATGTTTCTGTAGATTTATATTTAAGAGTCAGTAAAACAGTAAACATTATAACAAATAATGATTAGCGATTATTCAATAAGTACGTACGCACTGGATGGGAGAGGGGGATCAGCCTAGACATTTGTAATTATGTTAAAGTCCTATACGAGGGGATTAAGTAGGGAATAGATTTTTGTACAAATTTTTGAGTAACTACTTATTGAATGACCTCTTACTGAAAAATACAAATTGATAAAAGTTGTCCAGTTCATGATTATTGAGCACCCAA